GTCCACTAGACAAACATAGAAATCCAAGTTAGGCGAATTTGCAGACGTGAGACTTTGCTCTGAAGACTCACTAGTGGGAGGCTGCCAGTACGTACACGCTGTCTGTTATAAGATTAGAAAGATAAATAATTCAGTTGTCTATATTCAAATTTGCTTAATTTATATATTTAAGTTAGTTCTTAATTTATAATTTACCAATCTGGATAACAACAAATTTTCTCAGTGCCGTCAATTACTGGACATGTCCTGCATTGCAGGTATAGTAAAATATCTCTAAGTCAGCAAAGAAATATTTTAACGATCTGTTACCATTAAAGTTACATTAACAACTTGTTTAATACTTTTAAATTATCTGAGCTTAGTATTTTCCCCGATTTTTTGGTAGGGAGTTATTTGTGTTTACTGTAGACTATGAATGTTTAGTAAGAGATCTACGTCACAAATAGTATACACATTATTCTTTTTTAATATAACAACATATGCGTGAGATTTTGGCCCTTAAAAACCGCGAGAGCGTGAGTCGATGAAACAGTTCAGAGCCATATACCTGTCTCTTATACACATCTTTCGAATCCCGGTTGAGTGATTTCCTCCCCAGCTCGCATATTCATCTTCTTCGCCGCAGTTTAAATCCATGGTAATTGAATGCACTTACTGGATAAGCGTAAAGATATGAAATATAATTTGTTGAGTGAATAAGGTGTGGAGAGATCAACGAAAGCCATAAATGTAAGAGGATATGCAAACTACAAACACTCTATATAATTTAATAAAAGAGACAGCAGGCTAAATCATGTTTGGCGCCCTCAAATGTTCAATATAGCGCTCAAGGAGTATCAAGTACTAACTGTACTGTAATAAGGTTACTGTATTACAAACCATTACGAAAGAAATAAAACATTCTCGGCAATGCAATCAAATTTCAAATATCAAAACTCACTGTTCTTGTAATAGAATAAAAGGAGTTTTTGTTTTTTTTCAAATTCAAAGTGATCCAGATGTAATGACAATGATGTGAATTATGATATTAGATGGTGCGATATGATGGTGATGCTGATAATGATGATGATGATGATGATGATGATGGTGATGATGAATATGATGATGATGATGATGATGATGATGATGATGATGATGATGATGATGATGATGATGATGATGATGATGATGATGATAATGATGATAATGATGATGGCGCCGTGTTCAGGATTGCCATTTTGGGGGCGGGGTTGTGACTCTGATATTAAACATAAGGACTGTCGAATATAAAATAAGAAAAAATTTAAAATGTTCAAAAATATTAATAATAAGATTTATAAAGCGCACAAATCCACTGCAGTAGCGCTCAAGGCGCAAAAATAAAATAAAATAAAATTCAATAAATCTCCTTTAATAAGTGAATTATCAATGGAACTCATAAATTTATTTCATGGAAATTTAAAGATGTTTTGCCCTATGAAAATGACAACAATTTAAAAAAAATTAACAAACAAAATATTTTGAAATTAACTTTCTCATTTTTACAGTAACATAAAAGATTATTAAGTTGAGCCTAGAAATTATTGAATTAAAAAAAAATGTTTACCTTTATTCTTATACTGGATAGATAAAAATATAAACGGGAATAATGGCTGAATGTGTCGTATAATTATTCGCTGTAAAATTATGTGTTAAACATTTGTTTAAATAAATAATTTCTATATTCAAGTTAGGCCTAATGTTTTTATGTTCAAAAATGAGCAAATTAATTTCAAAAGTGAATTTTGTGATAACTTTTGATATTTTTCATTGGACAATACATTTTACAGGTATACGACCATTGTGAGGAAATTGATTTTTTATTTATTTATTTTCCTCAGTGGTCGTCTATTCTTTTATAGTGCTTTCCGCTAAGCCCGCCCTTCTTGGATATTGTTGTTAGGTCCCACAAAACCTAACGACAGTGTTAAAACCATGGGTTAAAACATAGTACGCAAAACACACGTGCGCTTGTGGGAAAACACGTGTTTTGCTAGACGCACGCGCGTATTTCCTGGCACTTTTCTGATTGGTCAGTTGTTAAGTTTGATTGACATTCCAGGAATGTCCACTAGACAAACATA